GCCCCCGCCGGAGCAGCTCCTGCCTGCAAGGTGCCCCCTCTCTCCCCAGGTGGGGTTGGAGCAGCCTCCTGCCTACAGCAAGCAGGGAGCTGCACAGTCCTCACTGGTTACCGGTTAACTCAGGCATGGGCGATAATTTTTACCTGGGGGCCACTTCAAAAATTTTTGAAGTAGCTCGGGTCACCCGGGAAGGGGCGGGGCCTAAATGAGAAGGGGCAGGGCCTAAACAGGAAGGGGCGGGGCTACCCCCTTTACCCTCTTTCCACCAGGCACCTTTACCCCCTTCCCACCAGGCACCCATGCCCTGGAAGAGGCTTGGCACGCTCCCGCACGAAGAGGTGCAGGGGCTGCGTGAAGCTTCCTTCCCCTTGCCCCAGCCCTGTGAGGAGCCCGCAGCACTTCAAAGCGCCATGTGCCCCTCGCAGGGCAGGAGGAGCTTCCTGCGCTCCCCTGCCCCCAGGCCCTGATTGGCCTGGGGGGGGGGGGGCGGAGGGAAGCAGCAGAGCTTCTACAGGTCAGATCCACCCGCTTGCCGGGCCGGATCTGGCCCACGGAGGCCCTTTTGCCCACCTCTGGGTTAACCGGAACCAGGAAGCATTACCCATTTAGGTACTGAGACTTTCCCGAGGGCCCTCTGGACTCCTCCACATCCTAGACTCACTGAAAATCCCCCAATGGCTTGGATGAGGTGGTGGGTCTCTGCTGCCCAAAGTCGCACGTCCAAACCCCCCATGGGCAGCGCTCTGCCACCTTTGCTGGCGAGGGGCTGAAAGGGGCAGATGCCTCCCCAGGCCACAGGGCGGACACTGGCAGGGCAGCACATGGGGGATGTCTGCCCGGCCGCACGCCCTGCTGTGCACACAGGAGCCTCCCTGCCCCAGGGCTGCCGATAACGCGCCGGGTGTCACGGTGCGTGTCAGAAGGGGACGCGGACGGGACGGACTCACGGGGAAAAGTGGCGACGGCTGGAGGGTGGACGGGGGCAGCAATTCTCCTTTCCCAATGCCCACTGCTTCCACGCTGAAGGTCATCTGGCCCCGACCCCTCCCTCTGCCTCCTCTTCCAGCCATGGCTTGCTCGCCGAGAGGAAGTGGACATAGAGCCGGGATCCAACGTAGCCGAGGCCTGGCAGGGGATGAAAAAACCCTTTTATGATCCTTAGGAACCTACAAAATCACATCTTCCTAAAGCTACGGCCCCAAAAGCCATGGGTCAGAGCTCCGGGCTAGCAGCACCGGGCCCTTAATCACACCAGCGCCACCTCGCTTGCAGGAAGAAATGGCAATCTGTGATCACTCTGGTTTCGGTGCTAATGTAGGTCCGTTTACCGTGCCGCTCCCAGTCTTTAACTGATCTAGGGATGTAAAATCCCCCTCGTATTGTTTAACTAGTTAACCCAGTTCTCAGACTGTGGGTCCCGACCACTGGGGGGGTCGCGAGCAACTTGGAGGGGGGTCGCGGTATCACAAAGATGGAGAACCCCTGAGTTAACCGATTAAAGGGAGGGATCTAGGGGGCCACTCTAGCTCAGCTGGACTGGAGCGCCCCTCCCCACCTGCCACCGGGCTGGAATTCCCCCTCCTCCCCCCCACCACCACAGGCAGGGGCTGCCTCAGCCTGGCCGGAGCAGCCCTGTGCCCATGGCAGGCCGGGGGGCGCTCTA